CAGTGTTTTTCAACTGGTCAACTTTAAGATGTGTGGACTTCAACTCCCAGAATTCCCCAGCCAGCATGGCTGGCTGGTGAATTCTGGGAGTTGAAGTCCACACATCTTAAAGTTGACCAGTTGAAAAACACTGGTTTAGCCTAATATGTGAATCATCTTTCAGGCAATGGGTGCCCCCGGCGAGGCCATGCAGAAAACTATCCTTTTTTATTTTCACGGAATTCCTACAACTGCCCCCCAGCCTTTTTATCATGAAAAACAATCCCAACCCCTATTTTTTCAGTTCATACTCCGTGCACGGTAAAATCGCTCGTCTTCCGCGGCATGAAAAGGCAGCCTCCGAGCAAGGCTCTCACCTGGCTGGTGGTAGAGCAGCAGCGCGGTCAGGCTGTACAAAAGTTCCGGGATTTTGTGCTGCGCCAAGTACTCACGACCCTCGGTTTCTCGGTCCATCGCCGTTGCTAGGCGACGGCAGAGAACGCGCCCGGCACCATCCCTTGGGGTGGGGTCCCACGTGACGCGAGAACGCGGGGCGCTTGACCAATCAGTTTTCCCGCCCGGCGCTCCGCTGGGCTTTAGGTTGTGACGTGGCCTGGAAGGCGCGGTGATGGATGTTTACGTCAGCGGGATGGGCGTGGCGCCAGGTCCAAAGCAGTCGCATGTGGCCCGGGGAAGGGTGGGCGCGCGCAGCGGGAGCGTTTGCACTGAATTTCTGCATTATTAAAGGTCCGGGGACGCCGATTGCAATATTCTGCCTCGTGCGCGCCGTCCTCTCTTGGCCAAGAGGGACTTTACCCGAGCTGTCATGACTGTTGTATGGGAACTGGCTTATTTGTCCGAGTGCCACAGCATTTTCATCCCTTAAAAAGTCTGCTGAGTCAAAAATTGAAACAAAGAAGAATGGTATCATGGTATGTCACGAAACGTGAATTTATTTTTTTAAGATAGAAAACACAGCCGAAACAGCTGCTTTTTTGCCATTTTGTGTTGGCAGCTGATCTGGCAGCCTGGTTCCTTAACCTGTGAACCAATGTTTGGTTTTTATGGAAGGAAGAGCTCTCAGAGTCACCAACCTTGGAGACGTTTTCTGTGGCCCACACCAAGACTGAGCATAGTGTCAGTCCTGAGGAACGTGCCTCTCTTGTCTGGCAAGGACCAATCCAGAAAAGGACCACTTTCGTTGCGTGAAACAAGTGAGGCAGAAGCAAAGTGAGTAGTTCAACTTAGGGAGACAAGACAGGAGAGTAAAGGAGGGTGTCGGCTTGCTGACAGCCCAAAAGAATAGAAAGCACCTCGCACGCACGCATGACAATCTTGCAGGAACCATGGATCCTCCCTTCTCAACCTGGCAACTTGAAGATGTGTGGACTTCAACTCCCAGAATTCCCCTGGAATTGAAATCCACACATCTTCAAGTTGCCGAGGTTGAGAAACACTGACCTAGGCTGAGAAGGAACAAGAAATAGTTCCACCTTGTGAAGGGCCTGAATCTCTGACATGTGCCTTAGCCTGCCCTGCCACTCTGGACCGTTTGTTATGTATGTATGTGTATGGTCACCTAACTCCACAAAGTGACTGGGCAATATACAAAAATCATCTACAGTACCGATACCTCCATTCCCTGCCATGCTGGCTGGGGAATTCTGGGAGTTGAAATCCACACATCTTGAAGTTCCCAAGGTCAAGAAACACTGCTCCAAAGCATGTTTTCCCTTAGAATCTGATGTATTGCATACTTTAAAGAAACAACTAGTATGGTTCTTGGAGGCCTTATTGGTAATAGTCACACCCCTGAGGTAGAAGCATGGGTGTCCCTCCACTTGTTTACAGGATCAAAACAAAGTAGTAGAACTACCTGCTGCAGAAGTAAGTTTGTTTTATAGCCCCTTTGCTTGCTCCTCTGTCCAGAGATAGAAGGGAAGGATCAGTTAATTTCCCACTGGATTAATTTTGCTAAGTCCAGATTTATTTATTTGGTTCTGCTTTAGCACAGTGTGGTGAATCCAGCCATTATGGCTTAATTAAAATACCCTTATGAAGGATGATACATCATGCTTGCCAGTTAACTCAGGTTGGGTTGATTGAAGATGATCAGGCTTTTGAAGAACTCCTTGGTCAATGACCCTGTTGAAATCTGTCTATCATGGTCACGTAGCTCTGAAATGACCCGAAAACACTCGAGTCTGTCTTCTCCTTGAAGATCAGAGGCCTTCCTTCGGTAAAGGTGGTCCTTGTCGTGTGAGACAAATATTGAGTCATTAAATCCTTGTCACTGGGGCTTTTGTGCATAATTAAGGTTGTCTGGGGCTTCTCGTGTTTTTGATGGCACCAATGGAGTCAATGCACTGGAGTGGAGCTTTATGGGCCGGTGCCTTTCTATCGGCAAGCAGTAAAACTGAGCTATACTTCCTTCTTTTGGGAAGTGGATCTCTGTTTCAGAGTACTATAGATCCTAGTAACAGATCCAGAGCAGATCCTAATAAAACGTTATCATTCTTCCCAGGTAACCCTGGCCTTTTCTTTTAAAAAGCAATAAAGCATTACACATGCTTTTCTTAGAAACATATAAATTATTTTATTTACAAAGCCATGTTACAAAAAATAATAATAACAATAATAATCATAAAGCAAAACAAACAAATAACAAATAACAAAAGAAATACAATCGCCCACTAGAGAATATCTCCAGGCCTGGTGCTGAATCATGGCAGTATCAGTCGATACACGTTTGTTCTTTTCTCCTTTTTCCAAAACTGTAAGTCATAAATTTTACTATTTACATCTACTTTCAACACTTACAATTATCACAAGCATGGAATGAGTTCTCTCTGATACTGCTAATACATAAAAGGTGCAGAAGAAGGAAAATAGTTAGTGTTACAAAATATGGGTCCGTAGAAAAGAAATCGACTGTACACATATGGCAATATTTTTTTTTAGAATGATTGGACGTGCTATCTTCAAAAGTCTTCTCGAAAAGGATTCTAAAATCTGTAGTAGGAAAGCACAATTGAGGAGGTGCAAATTTCACTTCTGTGCAACAGTTTTTTTATTTCCCATGACCGACCAGCTATGTAAAACCCAAAGTTTTGTTAAAGTGCCATGGGTAAAACAGCATAACAAAATAGAAGGTGTAGATAGAAAAATTTCTTTTCTTCTTTTAAACAAGAGTTCACTGAGAATCAGCAATAATAGAATATGCTGTATAAACTATTCTCTACAAAGGTTGATCAGCACTATGTACAATTGTTAACATCAATACAAAAGAAGGCATACAAGTTATCCAAGTTGCTTTTTTTTCTTTTTTTAATATGGCTGACGGGCCTATGCATTGCGTATGTGTAACAACCAAAGCTTCTGTGCCTCTATTGCTGGAAACAAATCACGAAGTCTTCTGACAAGGTGGGTGTGTAGAAGGGCAGATAGTTGGAGAGGGGAAAAAAACCAAAACGATTTAACAAATGCTACACTACAATACAGGCTGGTCTAGTCCACTTCCATTGCTAAAACTGCATTTCATTATATATACCATTTTAGTATATATAAGTTAAATGATTTTTTTTTAATGCGAGGGGACAAAAATGTAGAGGGCTCTATTTGATGCTTAGGTTTCCAGAATGCCGTGAGACCTAAGTCACTGAAAATGAAGAACTATATAAGCATTATTCCAAAAACACTCTCAAATGTCCAGCTTCCTACATAATAGATGCATGTTAAGCTAAGGAAGTCTTAACATTATTAAATTGCTCCTTCAGCAGCCACTGAAACTCATAATCATCATCTCTCAAAATACAGAACAGCAGTTCAATAATCGGAGCGTTGTTTTGCTACTGAAATTTGATAACTCCTGCAGCTATGCAACACAAAATAAATTAGTTTTTTAAAAAACAAGGCTCTGTTCCTACAACTGAAGACAAAAATTGTGCAAAAATAAAGATATGTACATATTTTTTTTCAATCTGAAGAATGTACAATAAAACATAACTCAAAATACATGAAAAATACAACCATTGCTTAAATTTTCTTCGTTTCATACTGTTCATGAAACTACTCTTGTCACTTCCCAAATATAAGAAAACATAAATTACAATAACATTATAAAAATTATTTTGAGAATATTTTCTAATTTCCCCCAAGAGGCCTAGCCTTGTTTACAGTTGTTAAACATTTTATATGTTTTAAAATCTGCCGTAAGCCTTTACTTTAAAAGAAAAGAAGGTAATCATCTATTTGCATTCATTTTCATTTTCCCCCAAGATGTAAATAAACTTGCATATAAGTGCACTTTTAATTCTGTAGAAATAAAAGTTAATTCCTTTGTAGTAATTTTGCAGTACCTTAGTATATAATTGGTTTCCTGATTACAAAATCTACTTTCATTTAAAAAAATCAGTAATTCCTGTAAAACATTGTCAGTGCAATTCTACTGATGCAAATTCAGTATGCCCAATTTCTGTCTTTTAGAATAATGTTTTGCGAAGGACAGCAATCGTATGGATTTCTTGGGCCCCTCCATCTAGGCATGAGGAACATTCCTATTAATATTGGTAGGGGCTACGTGCATAAACCCTTCAGTGTGTTGAAAGGATCTGGAACACTGAAACTATAGCCAGAATTCAGCAAAAATTGATGGATAGGCAGTGCTCCCTCAAGAGTTTTATACTGCTGTGAAATGCACTAAGCATTTTTTTTAATCCCGGGACAATACTTAATACAGAAGTTACTGTAAATTTAAAATAACGGGTTTGCTAAATCTATTTTCATCACAAATGGCATTATTTTGAAATGTCCACTGCAATCATTGTTGCAAGAAACAAAAAGGAGAAAATGCAACAATTTTCTTCCAAAGGCATTAATTAAAATCAAGCCTGATTGCACAGATCAGAGGCCAATACATATAAGAAATAAAAGTAAACCATTACTGCAGTTTTATGTAGATTTCAAAAAAGATTTTAACACAAAATTACAAAAAATCTGCAGGACACAGAAACCAAGAAGCTCTCTTGGAGTAGGGCTGCAAAAATATAGAGATGGTTGCTTTCCTTGTTATGGAAGAGTCCTTATCCTACCAGTCCGATTTAATGTTTTCTGAAAGAGAAAATAAACAGTTCATCTTAAGTTGCAAATGGGACAATAACAAGTATTTTTAAAAAACAAAACACAGAATTCAGCAGTCTAAAAATGTATGCTTCTGAGCAAGTTTCAATTCTGTCTCTCTTTAGGAAACCGTAACAAGTTCACACCCACTTTGTTTGTAAAACTTTATTCCCAAACAGTTTTATAAAATACTGTGATGAATTAACCTTTAACAAGCATAATAAAATAGATGTTCCCATGATAGATATAACTTACCTTAATGACTACCAGATCATTTTAAGTGATGCTGCACATAGGCTAAATAATCAGATATAAATACCCCTTCCATCATTTTTATTTCAAGGCATTCAGAAAAAGAACTGACCAAAATTACATCTTCTTGGCAAGGGACTTTCCTTTGCAATACAGGTTGCTCAAGT